GATCAGTCGCCGGCAGTGTCACTGGCCCTCATATATGGGATCCAAACCGGAGCCCTCTGGCGTCCCAAGCCAGTTCTTAACCATCGCGCCACTCGGCCGGCCTCCCCTATTATATTTTAAATGTTCAAATTTGGTGAAAATCACCTTTGCAAATAATTTATCAGACTTTCAAGGTCATATTGCTCATGGATCTGAAGAGACTAGTATCAGAGGCATGGAGATCATGTTAACCATTTTCTACCTTCTCGCTCTTGTTATTTGAGTTGACCTTTATATCTTGACATTAGTCAGTTCTTACAGGTAATCAAAAGTTGATCATATGCTTATGTTTTAAGTATGATTATATACTTTTAAAATAACATGTCTGTTGAAGCTCTAAAATTATTTTATTTTCTTAAATTTCTTTTTCAGTCTGATCTTGTGGATCAAAGTATATTTAATTTTATCCCAGAGGGGGAACATTCAGAGGTTTATAAAATACTCTCTACCCATCTGCTGGAAAGTGACTCATTAACCCCCGAATATTTAAAATGTAAGTAGTAGCTGTTAAGCAAAAAGTCAAATATCTTTGGTCATATTATAGTTTACTTTTGTAAGTTCGTGACAGACACAGACATATTTAACTAAATTAACACATAGCATCATTCCATATACCTTATTAGATTCTCTTGAAGTATAAAAAATATATGTAAAATGATGTTATGACTGTATTTAAAGTCTGAACTCTGTTCCAGGGTATATTGAAATCCCATCTTTTTTTGTTGTAATAGTTATGCCATAAAACTGTTTTCCACAAAAATGGAGCTTTACAACATATTTTTATTAATTTTTAAAGAAAATTTTATTTAATGAGAAAATTAGACATTCTGATTTTCACTGTAATTCAACTGGACACTGAAACTGTGGGAAAAAGTAACTTCTATATTTTTATGAATTATTAAATAAAGGAAATTGTTGCTTTATTAATTAAACAGAATTAGTTGTTTATTGGATGCAGCTAATGTGCCAGGCACTTGTGCTATATCATAGAAGTGCTAAGAATAATGAAAAATAGTTCCTGCCTTCAAGAAGTATGAAATATTATGTTATAGTCAGACATATCCCCTAGATTCATTGGAAAAATTAATTTGACCAGAATGCCTAATTTTCTTCACTAAAGTACCCTGTATAAAATCTGAAATTATTACAACACTATATGGGCCATTAGCTATTACATATTTTCTCTAATCACTTTTCTTTATGATATTTAAATTTGGCTTTTCTGATAATACTGACATCAATCATTTGAAAAGTTCTTTGTATTTTGAACCCTCAAATGTAGAACACTAACTGTCCAAGAATTGAGATATACATACACACACACACCCATATATACATATATAACTATGTATGACTGTATCTCTGATAAGAATGGATAGCCTGTCCGAAGGAGTTGAAAAGAACCACAGACCAGGAGAACCCATATGAAGCCTGTTTATAATTGTTTAAAAATTAATGCCATTTCCTATAGACTAGTCTTCCATGTAGGAGAAACATTTGGGCTGTATATAATGATGTAGAGGTGTCAGTTATATGCCTGTGAATAGTATTTAAAGTCATGGATTAAATGACATTCCTTGAGGTGATATGTAGAGCAAGGATAGCAGAATTAGAACGGTGGAACCCTGGGACATAGCAAGAAGTAGACAACTGGGAAGGAATCCACTTTAGAGACCTTTATAACGGCAGAATTGGCCAGGCAGCTGAGTGAAAGCTTCTGGCAGAAAGACAGACTTTAGGCTTCTGTTTCCAAGATCAAAGGTAAGGATGGTGGCAATACTTTTTGATGGAGAAAAGCCTTAATTAAATGACTTGCTGACCACCTAGTTAAAAATTGATATACAAAAAGTTATTTCCCCAGAAAAAAAGTGTTTCATGTCACAGGAGTAAACATGATTTAAAACAGAGGGGAAAATTGCTTAGATAATTCAGGATTCTAAAGGTAGGTCATGTGGGCCGTAATGAAGGTGAGGTGGTGCAGGTGTGATTTGTGTCTAGAGAAGGAAATAGGGCCCATATTTCATCCTAAGGAGTTTGACTTTTATTGTTTACATAGTGAGGAGCCAGTGAAAGGGTGGTTTTGTGGTCTGAAAAATAAATCTCTCAGGTGGATAATTTTGAAAAAGACCAGACTGGAGATAAACATGAAAACTATATACTCTTAGCAATAGATGTAAGTATGGAGAGGAAAACATGCATATGAGTATTGAATAGATAAACTCAATAGGACTTGGTATTAGGCACAGGTGACCAAGTGGTTAAGGATCATCACTGGGGAAGGTTTTAGGAAAAAGGCTGTTAGATTTTTTTATCCTGTTGACTTAGATGGTAAAGTCATTCCTGATAATGACAGAAGAGTATGAGTTCAGTGCTGTGAGTGAAGAGAGGCTTTTCTCATCCTTGAGTGTTGAAATAATAATGAAAGTGTAACATGCATCCAAGAGTAGTAGGGAAAGTTGAATCCTAGTGGCAGAAGTGTGGAAGAATGTACAGTACATTTTTGCAGTTGCCTAGATGCAAGGTAATTTGCATCTGTACTAAATTGGTGGTATCAGATGCTCAGTTGGGAAAAAAAAATGGCTTACGAGAGAACTTCTTTGGTGAAAAACAATAGCAGGTCCTGTTGATGAATTAGTTTGGAGGCTTGTGATAGGAAGAGAAAAGACCCAATTGATACAGTTGGGAGATAGGCACACATGGGACAAAGAGGAAGGACAGCTGGTTTAGGAAGAAAGGGATAAATTCACTTTGAAATATTTTGAGTTACTGATGGGACAATCAAGTAGAAGTGACCTGAAAGCAAATAGTAACCTGAGACTTTCTCTTATATAAAATGTTAGCGTTGGGGGGAGAGATTTAGGAGTAAATACGTTTACCAAATGCCAATAAATGTATAAAGGATAGTAGAAAATCAAAATCAAAACAACTTTTGTGAATGTCTGTACTTTGAAGACTGATTAGCAGAAGAGATAAAAATATTCAATAACATAGGAAGGTACGTTTCATGCTATAGGAATAGAGAAGTATGAATTTTAAGAAGAGGTAGTAACAATGAGGAATGCCCATTTAAGTTAATGATACAGTAGTACCCCCTTATCTACGGTTTTACTTCCTACAGTTTCGGTTACCTGCGGTCAGCCTCAGTCTGAAAATACTAAATGGAAAATTACATAAATAAACAATTCACAAGTTTTAAATTGCTCACCATTCCAATTAGCGTAGTAAAATCTCACACCATCCTACTCTGTCACACCGGGATATGAATCATCTATTTGTTTAGTATATCCACTCTGTACATGCAGTACAATAAGATATTTTGAGAGAGAGACCACATTCATGTAACTTTTATTGCAGTATATTGTTATACAGGCATACCTCGGAGATATTGTGGGTTTGGTTTAAGACCACCGCAATAAAGTGATTCTTGCAATGATCTTTTTGCTTGTGGTGAGTCTTGCCTTCAATTTGTACAAAACTCAGTATCTGTGAAATGCAATAAAGCAAAGTGCAGTAAAATGAGGTATGCCTGTAATTGTTCTTTTATTAGTTATTATTAATCTCTTACTGTGTCTAATTTGTAAATTAAAATTTATCATAGATATGATAGGTATGTATGTATAGGAAAACACAGTATATATGGGATTGGTACTATCCATGGATTCAGACAACCACTTGGGGGTTTGGAACGTATCTCCTGTGGATAAAGGGAACTACTGTACAAATATTGGTGGTCTTTAGAAGAACAATTTCTATAGAGGTATGAGAAAAAAAGCCACAGTGCATGAAGTTAAGGAAAATGAATATATGGAAGCTAGAGCACATAGTGCAAAGGAAGGCGATCTATGATGCTAAAAAGAGTAGCATGAAAAATCCTTTATCTGTTTGAGGGGAAGACCTGAGCAAATGTAAAAGTAGAAGAAAGTTAAGGACCCAAAGAAGAGAAGGTGTGGACACTAAAGGAATGAATAGCAATGCCGTGGCCGTGATCCTAGAAAAGTAGGAAAGACTGTTCAAGGCAAACATAAAAACATTACCTTCAGAAGGGGAAGCAAAACCTTTCTTTGAAATTAGAGTGGAGAATGAGAAGGAAGGACAGATAAAAATGGGGAGACGTGGAGTTGCTTATATTAGATCTGTTTTCTTTATTCAGGGAAAAATCAGGTCGTCTTCTTAGAGGTACTCTATTTTTATGAACTAAACAAAATGTCATTGAGGACTTTCATTGGAGACAATAATGATTGTAAACTTACACAACTTTTGTATTTCATGTGATATATTACTTGTGATAAATCATAAGTATATTACATTTTTTCTCTTATTTCAGCAAAAAATCAGTTAGAATTCTCTTGTCATATGCTTCGAGGAACAATAGACCCAAAGGAGCCATCTACCTATGAATATGTGAAATTTATAGGGAATTTCAAATCCTTAAACAGTGGTGAGTTAAAATGCTTTTCTTACAATGTATTTTAATCTGCATTCTTTTAAGCTGTTAAAGACACAGATTTTGAACATCAATAAAAACTAGATTTTACAGGAGTAGCTGATAATATGTATTTCCTTATTGTTTTAGTATCCACTTCAGCACACAATGGTTTTGAAGGAACTATACAACGCACACACAGGCCTTCTTATGAAGATAGAGTTTGTTTTGTAGCTACTGTCAGATTAGCTACACCTCAGTTCATCAAGGTATGTTTCTAATTTTATTTCCTAAAGGGGATTTAATTTCATGTTATGAGAATGAACTACATGTAATTTTTTTTTGTTTTTTCCTGAATAACAAACTTCCTGCAGACATTAAAGGTAGTGATGACCATGAGTCTTTAAATATACATGATCATTATATTTTTGAAGCAAATAATGAATTACCAAGGTGCTCATTAAATTATATAATTAATTTTTAAATGTATATCCTTTGCAGTTCATCATTGTCCTGCAGTTGTGCAAAATTTGAGGATGCTTTTTTTGTATACTTAACAATCTGCATTATAGGGAATGGCCAAAAATCTAGTTAATTTTAAAGACTGTATTGAATCAGCAGTTAGAAAATCTTAACCCAATCTTGCTCTGCTTGTTTTGATCTTAGGAAATAATAGCAGCAGCTAAGGGGAAGTTATAATCATATTTGAGTACTAGTAAGGTGATTGTGGCCATAGTAGAAGATGGGTTGAAGGACACGGAGACTTGTTTGGGGAGACAATCTGGCGGTAATGTGAGCCAGTGATGGCCAGGGTCTAGAGTCTAAACTAAGACACTGAAGATGGATGGGATTGAATAGATTTTCTTTAAACTTAGAAGGTAAAATTAAAAGGATGTATAGTGGCCATTTAGATGGTGAAAGGTGAAAACGAAAGTGTGTTGGGACTGTTAAATTTCTAGACTAATCGCACAATCCAGGTATGCCTCCTAATGAGATGGAAAATTATTTTAACTGGGTCTGATGAATAGGCAGTTAGTTCATTTTAGGACATACTGAGTTTGTGATGTGTGGGGACATCTGGACAGAAATACAGAATTATAATTCAGAAGAGAGACCTGAATTCAGAATTAGGGTTTATAGCCATGTGATTGAATGGAGTAATGTGTAAAGTAAGAAGTACTCCCCTAGAAGCCTGCATTTGTTTATTTCCACATCCTTTAGTACTAGAAAATTAAAATACTTTAAAAACTGCTTAGGGAAAAGTTATCTAATAATTACTTTTATGGCTAACAACAATTACGATTTTTCTAAGGACAGAGAAAAGTATTTCTAAATTTTAATTTTTAATTTATTTGTAGGAAATGTGCACTGTTGAAGAACCCAATGAAGAGTTTACATCTAGACATAGTTTAGAATGGAAATTTCTATTTCTAGATCACAGGTAACTCCATTTTTAAATTTTACAAAAAGGTAGTAGTCATATTATATGATTGTTTAAATTAATGGATTTCAAGGACAGACTTTTTCTAATCAGGAAGATCCAGTCCATTAATCATTTTTTCAAAAATTAAAGGTTCCCCCTGAAAATTGATTTCTAGTTGGGAGTGTTTCTTATTATGGAAAAAGTTATAATATTGATTATTTTGTATGTAATTTAGGGCGCCACCCATAATAGGATATTTGCCATTTGAAGTTCTGGGAACATCAGGCTATGATTATTATCATGTGGATGACCTAGAAAATTTGGCAAAATGTCATGAGCACTGTAAGTAAACTTTAATCTCTCTGGTGATAATAACTTTTAAAAAATCATATAAACAACTATTAATAGAAGGTGGTAAAGTGCAGACTTACAACTGTTTTTGTATTTTGAAATATAACCGGAGATTTTAGTTGATCTGTATAACCAACCCAGCAGGAGATCAAGTTTGAATTAAACATGTTCCTATTTTATATATTTGTAACAGTAAGTACAGTTTTATAATATGGTGTGTAACAGAAGTAGGTGCCTTTGAAAATTGTAATAGTATGTCAAAATGTTAGAACACTATTCATAAATTTTGACTTACAGGCATGCAAGTCTGCTCAGGAGACAGGTACACATGTAGACCATCTGTTAGAAAGCTCATAGTGAGTGCTTAGTGTTACCTGTTGTTATTGTTATTAGCAGCAGAAGCATTGTCATCTTATCGTGCCCTGCATTATTCTAAACAATTTATGTATTTTATCTCCATTATTAATCACCACAGTTCTAGAAAGTAGATACTGTTATCTCCACGAGTAAACTCAGACATAGATAGGCTAAATAATTTACCCACAATCCCGTAACTCATTGGTGGCAGCAACAGGTTTAGAGTGTAGAACTACCCCTTTACCGTGCACATGCTGTTTATTCTTTGTTTCAGAGGTTTGTTTTAATGATAGGTTTTATTTGCTTTCCAGCTTCCTCCCCAGATTCTACTCTCTTGGGTGTCCTCTAAAGCTTAATTAGCTATTTAAGATACTTTCATGATATCTTAGGTTGGTCTATATATGAAACCTTTCTATATGAAAATTAAGAATATTATATAATAGCATCAACTATAGGGAAGATTTTTAGAGTAAAGTCATTTCAACACAGAAGAAAACATTATTCACTCCAAGTGATAATCAGAGCACTATGATGGCAGAGAGAGAGAGAGAGAGAGATAATATTGATTTCTGACCAGCGTTTCCTAAGGTTTGGTCCATTGAATTGCTAGTCCATTAAAATGGATTTTATGGTCAAAGAAGATTAGGAAACACTTCATAATCAGTCCTACCCCACCAGCCCCAATCTTAACATAGATTAGTATACTTAAGGCTTTGAGAAGACAAAATAAACCTACATAACAAAGTTTCCCAAATTAATTAAACCATGAGACCCTTATTTTAACTTAATATCCACTAAAAGGCTTCAAACTTAACAGTCTACAAAGAGTGTTTTGGTAAGTACTGCACTTATCGGTTACTTCAAACAACTAAGTTACTCTGATTTTGGTTAGTTATGGTTTAGAGTTAAATGCTTCAGAGATGGTGTACCTGCCAGGGTACGCACAGGTTGGGAAAGAAGTCAGGTTTTATTATTTATTGCTGTTACCCTCATTATATCTTGCCAGGAGAAAGCCAATATGTGAATACCATATTCTTTAGTATTTGGAAATTTATTGTATATGAAAAGTATCTAAGATCAGCAATAATTGGCTATAAGTTGGGCTCTGTGGAAGATAATTGTTTGGGACCTTAAGCTGTCTCTACAAAATAGCATTTTTATATAATATAAAATTTTATATAATGAAATAAAATGACAGATTTGTAACTAATAATAAGAATCAAAAAATATTTTTCTCTTTTCTTCTTAGTAATGCAATATGGAAAAGGCAAATCATGTTATTACAGGTTCCTGACCAAAGGACAACAGTGGATTTGGCTTCAAACTCATTATTATATCACTTATCATCAGTGGAATTCAAGGCCAGAGTTTATTGTTTGCACTCACACTGTAGTAAGGTAAATCCTTTTACAGAATTCCTGAACTATAGAAACATCCATAATGATTTTGATAATGAAATTTTTATGTATGACTTGTTAATAAACTGCAAAGTGATTCCCTCCATTTTTTATATATAGTTTCAATATTATTAAATTTACTTACATTATCAGAAAGAGAATACAGCTATATATACCAGGGGTGCCAAAAAAATGTATACACGTTTTAAGAGATGTTGTCTATGCTCAAGCAGTAGTTCGCTGTAATCAGAAGTGCCTGGGTGCTGATGGTAACCACTTTGAGCATCTCTTGTAATTGCAGAAGTCAAACGTGGCTTGTGTTCATCTTTTGTTATCGGTATATATTATTAAAATTAATACAGTTTTTTCCTTTCTTAAAATGTGTATACATGTTTTTGGTACCCTCTGTAGATATGTAGTTCTCAATGTGAATTTTGTGGTTTTGAGCAGAAGTTGTAACTCTCCTTTATGTACCAAAGTCAGTCATTTAAAAGGAAAATTAGAGTACATAGCGTACTCTTTCTTTAATTACTCTTAATTTAAGAACTATGTAGTTATAGATTACTTATGTTAGATACCTAGAAAAATACAATTTGAATTAAAATGGTACACTATAGATATGTTGTAGGTTTGTGTGACACATGGAAAATAGCCTGAAATTAGTGATTAATGAGTAAGACACATAATGAACACTGAATGGTTGTCCCTCTGCAATATTTTAAATAAACAACCAAACACTAAAATTCTATTTTTTTCATTTGTAGTTATGCAGAAGTTAGGGCTGAAAGACGACGAGAACTTGGCATTGAAGAGTCTCTTCCTGAGATAGCTGCTGACAAAGTATGTATCTTACAGTTTTAAAAAATTATTTCATTTCTTCCCAATGGAAAGACAAGACTTAATAATTTATAGGAAAATTATTTTTGAAACATTTTATTTTCTCAATTGACAGGATTATACATTTACTATTTATTTTTATTTTAAATTTAACATTTTAAAACCTCATCTGCTGGAGGAGTTCGCTATTTAGTGATAATTGGGTGAGAGACATGTATGCTCAGATTTAAGCTGTCGTTTCTTAATTGCCTACAATGTGCTAGGTTCTGGCTAGGTTCTTTATATGAATTACAAAATGTCATTTATTTCTCAGACATTCTTATTTGATAGGTAATATCCTGACTTTGAAAATATGAAACTGAGGCTTTAAGGGGGGTGAAAGCCTCCCCTAAGGACACAGCTGGGAAATTACAGTCAGAATTTGAACTGGTTTTTCTTTTCATTATGTCAGAAGTGTAGTGTACTAGTAACCTATGGTGTGTAACAAAACTTGATAATGTAAAAGAACACATTTATTGTCTCATAGTTTCTGTGATTAAGAATTCAGGTACAGTTTAGTTGGGACCTCTGGTTCAGAATTGGTCATGAAGCTGCAATCAAGGTGTCAGCCCAAGTTCTCTTACAAGGCTGTAAATCAGGGTGTCAGTGGGGGCTCCAGTCATCTCAAGGTTCAACTGGTACAGAATCTGTTTCCAAGCTTACTTTGGTTGTTGTAGGGTCTGGTTCCTCATTGGTAGTTGGATGGAGGGCCTTAATTCCTTACTGGCTGATAGCCAAGGTCATTCTCAGTTCCTTCCAGGTTGCCCTTTTCATCACAGCAAGTATGCAGAAGATCCAAGGAGAGAAAACCCAGCAAGATGAAAATCAGTCTTTTGTAACCTAATCACAGAAGTGACACCACGTCACTTTTGTCTATTCTGTACATTACAAACAAATCACTAGGTTCAACCTACGCTCCAGGGGAAGGATTATACAAGGGAGTGAACACTGGGAGGCGGGAATCATCGTAAGGCATGTCAGAAGTTGCCTGCCACAGGTATTTTTGACCTGCAGAAAACAATGAAATGGAAAGAGTCAAGAATCTATATAAAAAGTGAGTTAAGGGCCAGCCGAGTGGCTCAGTTGGTTAAGAGCTTGCTCAAGACGCAAGCTCTGAGTACCAGCGGTTTGATGCCCGGCCCGAGCTGAGCTGCCGCTGAGCTGCCAACAGGTGGCGGGATGGCTCAGCTAAAAAAAAAAAAAAGTGAGTTAAATAGACAGCATGCCAGGGAACAATATGGGGGCGGGGCGGGGGGGGGAAGATATTGTGCAGTCATTCAGAAAACCTTAATAAGTGCCTACCATGTGCCAGGAAGTACTGGACATGGCTCTATCAGCGGTTCTCAACCTGTGGATCGTGACCCCTTTGGGGGTTGAACGACCCTTTCACCGGGGTCGCCTAAGACCATCGGAAAACAAAA